CTAGGACAGCCCTAGAAAACTAACACACACAGCCTACGTGGGGGACTCAGGCTGGGCGTCCGCCTCTGCCTGTCTGCAGTGCCGGCCTTCTTCCCGGTGTGTCTGGGTCTTCGCTGTTGTGAGCCTTGTAGAACAGCTGTAACTCATGTTTGCCGTGTGGAAGATTGGATTTCTCTCACTCCCTTTATTGTAGATTTCAGCTTGACCATGAGCTTTGCCCGTGGAAGAGCCGGAGTCTCATCTAGGTCGACAACATGGCTGACCACAGCTCGTTGCTTACAGTCCTGCAAATGTTGGGGGTGCAGTCACCCCTCTCAGGATCTGCTCTGTGTTTAAGTGAGATCACAGAGTCACAGTGCACTTGGTGCATGGCAGCCCTCAGTACGTGGCAGGTCTCGCCATCCTCATCACGACCAAGACCCGAGCTTACTTTACCATGGGATTATATTCTCCAGGGTGTTCCATTTCTGGAACTTCAGAGCATTCCTGTTCCATCAGCTTTTATTGAACTTCACATACAGTGAGGCAGAGAAAGCTCTAAGCCCTTGTCCTCATGGAGCCCTCATAATATGGAGTGGGAGGAGCTTAATCAGGTGAATATTAGAGTGAAGAAGACATGGATGGTTTAACTGTGCTAAGATATGGATATGCCCCCCTCTTGTGGATCAGGGCCTCGAGGGCGCTGGGAAACTTAAAGAGAACTGAAACTGGCCAGAAAGAATCCTGGGAACCTTCCTGGACGTCGGGTTGCTGTATGTCTCATTAAATCCAGGCTGATGCCCGTCCCGAGCCCCTTCTCTCAGTTAGGTTTTGTAGTTTCCTGCCCTGTCAGCCCCTCTCCCATCCCCCAACCACCCAGGTTCCCTAACAAAGGAAGGCCCTTCTTGGCAGGCGATAAGGGAGAAGCCACTCTGATTGGAGTCTTGGAAATGTCATTACATCCACTTGCAAGTTTTCCAGATCGGAAGCCACTCAGCTCAGCCCAGACACACTGGGAGGTTTTCAGATGGATCTGGACGTCTAGGTGTTTGGGGTTGTCACATCAAGAGATCCATGAGTGACATGACTGACTCCTGCCTGTCAGTTAGGAGAAAGTGGGGAGAAGCTTTGTAAGGGAAAATACATGCTGGTCCCAGCCTCCTAACAGACAGTTAAGTGCAGAATTGAGCGGCTGTGACCCGCAGGCTGGACAGGAACAGGAGCAGGGGTTAGTCAGAACAGGTCCCTGGTTCCACTCAGGGTGCTCAGGGGTCAGGTCAACCTAGGGGGAGGCCAGAGAGACCATTGAGGGGGTGAGTCCTGGCTCCTGGTGGGAAGTGTGACTGCAATTTTAGCTGGCAGATGAGGCGGGAAGGGGATGGTCAGCTGGAGGCACAGGTGCACAGGGCATGCACAGCCTGGCATTCCAGAAATTGCCAGTCAGTGGTTTTGCATTGCAGGGGGCCGGGGCGGGG